GAAGACTGCCTGTACCTCAATATCTTTGTGCCTTTAGACGTCAACTTCACAGCCCCTGTATCAAAGTCCCTCCCAGTGATGGTCTGGATTCACGGGGGGGATTTTATAGCTGGCAGTGCCTCCAAAGCTTTATATGATGGGAGATTTATCGCCAGTTCAACCCACACGGTGGTGGTCAGCATAGCATATCGCTTAGGTAAGACATATTTACTCACTGTCAAATTTTTTAGCACTCTGACCCAGGTGTGGGACCCGCTTATTGAGTCAAAATCTTTGCTAGTGTGAAAGCATCTATTGGGGTTGTAAGCGGGTTGACCCAGGTCAACAGAGAACCACGTCAGGAGCTGGGTTGACCTGGGACATTTGAGGTGAAACTCTGAAAGATTTAGAGGTACTCGTGTAGTCATACTGTATATTCATGTGTTATGTGTATGAAGTATGATCGGAAGTATCTACAAATATGGTTCATTCTTACACAACACAGGGACTTTCAAAATGTGTGTGTATGGGGAGATAACGATTGGTATTAGGAAAAAAGTGGCTACTCTAAATAGGAGTTGGTGAATAATAAAAGCTGATCTCATTACATTTGTATGATAGTTTATCATAGGACAGTGTAGTATAGTTTGATCATTTAATATCGATTACAGTTAAGAACTACAAGTATTAATTTACTATTGTGTAGGAATAGTACTTTTAACAAGAAATTCTATAGTATTCCTGTCATACTTTTCTTTGCATACTTACATATGTAGGAATACTGTACATGTATTACTACAACAACTAATAATAATAAGAAGTCCTTGCACTTATGTAGTGCTTTTCTGTACACTCCACTCAAAGCACTTCACAGCTTTCAGTGTGGAGTGGAGTGGAGAAGGGGGACCACCAATGTGTAGCACCCACCTGGATGATGTGCCAGTACGCACACACATCAGTTATCAGTGGAAAGGAGAACAGGTAATGAAGTCAGTTCATTGATAGGAGACCATAATTGGTGAAGGCCAGGGAGAAATTTGGGCAGGACTGGGGGGTAACACCCCTAATCTTTTCGAGAGACACCCTGGACTCCCATCTATGTACTGAGGCAGGCTCACACCTGCTTAGCTGCAGTGACTTGACACTTGTGAGTTGCAGGGTGATATAGCTAAAACATATTTTCAAAAGGGAGCAAAATGGTGTTTTTTCAGATGAGAAAAAATGGAACTTTGTACTGTATTCCAGATTAAAGTTCCTTTTTTTGCTTTTCAATTAAACCATATTTCTAGCCTGTTAATGGGTTTCTGTAAATGTACAGTAAATGTGGGCACTGAGATATCCTTAAATTGCACTTGGTTGTATTAATGTGCAGAAATCATACAGCTAAGTTAGATTATGCTAGTGGAGAAAATATTGCAGTGTGACCAAAAACGTTCTAAAACCTGCAGAATGTATTAATTTCCCACCTTTTTGTTTGTCACAAGATTTTCCATTTTTTGTACATTTCTTGAATTAGCTGTATTTTCTTGTTTTATGCTGTTTTTAAAATGTAATGAAGTATCCATTACGAAAATTGAGTTATGTATTAACATTAAAATTACATTTATGATATAGGTAATCCCATGAAAATAATAACAATGCAATTTATTGTAAATTATAAACATCTCACAAATGTGTATACTGTTAACTTTTAGATGTTAAGTCTATGGAAGCCTGTTTCTGCCAGAGAGTAAAAAAACAAATGATACAGTATGTCAGAATTTCACAAAATTATTTTTTTCTGTCAAAATATTTATTTGAAAACATGCTGGGTGACAAAACACCAGACATTTGTATGATCTTTCAATGCAGGAGCTTTTGGATTCCTTGTCACAGGGACAGATCCTAAAACATCTTCCCTAGGAAACTATGGTTTTTTGGACCAACAAACTGCACTTCTTTGGGTTCAGCAAAATATTGCTGTGTTTGGAGGAGATCCAAACAAGGTAAGTGTGAAAAGAAAATGGTACAATGTTTCTGATTATATTAGATAATATACAGTATATAACATATATTATATACAATAAATGTATATATAAATATATTATACATCATATACTGTATTTAATTGTATTACATGAATATTAGAACATAAGAAAAGGTCCTGTGAACAAGAGGGTGCCATTCGACCCATCTTTCTTGTTTGGCAGTTTAGTAGCTAAGCAAATTTAAACTCATCCAACTGTTCCTGAAAGGTGCCCACAGTTGTGTTTGGGCCACAACAACCTAGCTAGGAAGTCTGTTCCAGATAACTATTTATAGAAGTGAGTAAATATGAGTTTCCTTTTCTCTGTCCTACATGTGCCAGTTAATTACATTTAATTATTTCAATTGCATTTGCTCAGTTCTTTTAATTTGCATCGTCACATTAAGGGGAATACATTTCCCGTGTTTATGAATATTCTGCTTTAAATTGTACATTGTGTACAAGTCATGATGGATTTTACACTGGAAGAATGTCTCATACTCTGTACTGTAAATCGCATGCAAGCTTTATATTTTACTGAATATCTGCAAAACATGTAAATTATGGTCTGTCACTTTCAGGCAATTCATTATTCTCTTCATCTCTTCAAAAATAAAGTAGTGCCATTGCATTCTGAATTTGAAAGCTTTCCTCTGATAAAACATGCATGTTCAATTGTGCTGAGGTTTAATTAAAAATATTAGAGGTTGAAAGGCAAATATCTGCTTGGCAGTCAGGTACAGTACATTAGTCTCAATTATGTCTGAAAAAAGGGCTGGTGAGGTGATAATTTGGCACTTTGTAGTTACAGCATTAAGGCTTTTCAGGTTCACTTAAAAAATCTATTGTGTACAAATGTCAGAAGATCTATGAAGCATTGAGTGCTACGCATAAATATTAATTTTACATACAAGGAAATGTCCTGCAATTGACTGTTCTTAGCACTTCTCAAAGGTGACAAAATATAACAATGCCTGAATATTGATTAAAAACATTTTTGTGCATTTCTATAATGCATCTTATAAAAATACACAATAATGTGTAATAGTCATATTTATAATATGTATTACTGTATATTAGTATTTTCAGGCTGATTTGATGCTTAGGACGGAAATAAATATGAGTTTCTGGAATGTAAATATATTAACAATATACATACAGTTAACATTAAAGAATACAGATCCTAGAGGGGAATGGAAGAAAGCCCACAGGTATATAACCCACTGGAAAATGGCCCACTGGTTCAAGATATTTATGTAGTTAAGTCAATGGTTACATCAATAATGGAAGTGCTTAACTGACAATGAACTGTATGTATTAAATAATAATGTGATGTGTTTGAATTCCTAAGGGTTATTTTATGATCTGTATTCCTACGCTTGGCTATACAACATAAATAAAGTAGTATTAGATTATGTTTTTTCTTCAAATGTAAGGCACCCACAGATTAAATGTTTTCCCCTTTAGTCTAATTATGGTTTTAGAAAAGGAATACAATTCTGAAAACTGTTTTCTCAATGTAGGTGACAATATTTGGGGAAAGCGCTGGGGCACAGTCCGTGAGTCTCCATTTAATGGTACAAAGCAGCAAACCCTTATTTAAACAAGCTGTCCTTCAGAGTCTGCCCTTCTCCATTCCACTGAAGACAAAGTAAGAAACCCACATTTATTACTGTTGTGAGAATATGTAAAAACTTGCTGACAATTGTTATTATCGTTGCTATACGCAATTTGCTCCGAAATCCTTCCAAAGAAAATTTAACAAATACTATTTTTGGGCAGAGTGGTGGCTCTGTGGCTAAGGATCTGCACCTGTGGCTGAAAGGTTGCCAGTTCAAATCCCATAGCTGGCAGAGGAATCCAACTCCATTGGGCTCCTGAGCAAGGCCCTTAACACCCACTTCTCCAGGGGTGCTGTACAATGGCTGACCCTGTGCTCTGACTCCAGGCTCTCTCCCTATCTGTGTGTCTCATGGAGAGCAAGCTGGGGTATGCAAAAGGATGAATTTCTAATGCAAGAAATTGTATAAGGCTGATAAAGTGATGTTATTTCTGTGATGTTGTTTTTTCTGCAAATGGTTTTCAGTTGTTTTGCATGAACACTGTCGCAGAGATAACTTTGGGCAACTGCCTTCCTGTAGTTTCATACAGTATTACAGTTCCATGTGTGCAAAAGAAAAAACTCTTTCATGCTTTACAAAAAATTTCCAACGTAGGAGCCCCCTATTTCAATTATGCTTCTGAATAACCACAAGTCTAAAAAAAAAATCTTGCATGCTTCTTAGTCCTTTTTTGTGTGAAAAATGTAGAGTATATTGAGTCATTTATTTTTAATATTTTGTTATTATTGTTAACATTGTTATAGTACAATCTCAAGTATAGCAGTGCAACTCTAATCCTGGAGTGCCAATGTGACTTCAAGCTTTCATTCCAACTCAGCAAATAATGACCTATATTAGTAAAATAATTGTCCCAATTGCACCAATTGCACCCAATTTACAAGCTCCTGTTAGTTTTTAAGGTGCTGCTGCTAAGAAAATGATACATCAGTGCTCGAGGACTGGAATTGGACCACAACCCCAGAAAGAGCCATTTAATTTTTATTATATAAAATGTCGTAAACATATTCACCACCTTTCAATGATGTCCCATTTTGTTGAATTACAAATGATGAATCACACATTGAATCACAAAACTTGAATGCATTTATGAGCGAAAGAATCTAAATAGCAGAAAAAACTGCAATGAAAAATACAAAAATAAAATGTATTGATTGCATAAGTTTTCAGATCTGTCCATTACATTACCTTCATTGGACTTTTCTCTGAAGTAATCTGATGAGAAAGAAGAGTTTTGGAACTATGTTTTTGGACAGATGCGAACAAAAATTTCGAGAAAGGAGCTCAAGAAAGAAAGGAATCGCTCCAAAAAACATTTCATCAATAAAACATGGCCTGGCCTGATCTGTAATGATGAGGTAACTAAAATGGCAGAAGCACAGTTATTTCTGGGGTTTACAGAAACAGTTTGTCTGCTTGTGAGGACGTAAATGCTCCTGTTGGTGGCACTTCACCATACAACATGACATTGATCAAAAACCAGTGCATCCAAGGAGAAATAAGTGGAAAAGCTTAGATTGGTCAAGTCAAACTCCAGATTTAAATATACTGTAATCATATACAGTACAGTATATACTTGCATTTTATGTGCTCAAGAAGAAATTAAGTCAGGACACCCCAAAAATAGACAAGATCATAGTGTCTGCAGCAAAATAACTCAAAATGATTATAAATTGTGTAAAACATGATGTAGTGAAGGTATAATCAATGCAGGAGGTGAACAGATCTCAGCTTAGAGGTTCTCTCTAATAGCTATGTCTTGCATTATATGTTACATGAAGATAAGACTTAAACATTTAAATTGTTTTCAGCTATGAATAACCATTTGCCCTTTCCAGATATTTAACAGCAAGTGAATTTAAATCCATGTTGTAACTCATTCTATTTAAAAACTTGTTTTTGGAAGAGGTTTTAGCCACTAGAGACCTGGTAAAATGTTTCTGAAGGAGAGCCAAGGGCCATAGACTGAACCCAGCAGGCCGAGGGGAGCCAGAGAAAGCAGTGACTCTAGCGTATTTTCAACAGTGACTTTCTATACTACTAATGATCCATCAAAATAATTGTCACCTGGAAAAAGGAACTGCATGGTTCCATTATTAGTGCTTGCAGGTATTTATTTTAATTGACAAAATACAATTAAGCTTAATTAAGTTTAAGTAAACAGTATTAAGAGTTAACCTGTCAAGCCTATTTTTCTTTATTCCTTTTCCAGACATGATGCAGTAAAGCTAGGAAAAGATTTTGCTGAAATCGCAAATTGCTCAGTCAATGACATGGATTGCCTGCTGTCTCTTACCCCTGAAGCTGTCCTTGCTGCACAGATAAAAGCAGGTAATGATATTAAAAAATATTCCAATTCCTTTACCTCTCTTGTTAAATAATGCTATAGTTCAGCTAGGTTTAAATATGGCAGTCAAGGTTGCGTTCTGGTTAGCATTGTTGCCTTGTACAGTACTGTAGTTCTAGGGTCCTGGGTTCCATTCCTGGGGTGCTATCTGTATGGATGTTGTATGTTCTCACCCTGTTCATGTGGGTTTCCTCCACGTGAACAGGGTGACCTACCTCCTGGTAGGTTAATTGTCTTCTTTGAAAGCTGTCCCTGGTGTTAGTGTGTGCATGTTGCTTCTGTGTGTGCCCTGCAATGGACTGGCATCCTGTCCGGGGTGTATCCTGACATGAGCCCATTGCTTGGCAGGACAGGCTGTGGCTCCCCTGTGACCCTGACCTGGATGAAGCGGTTGGGAAATGAATGTATGGAAGTTCAGATATTGTACATTGTTTTTGGATGTCTTTTTAAAGGTTTAACATTTTTTAAAAGGTATTTTAAACCCTTTTAAATGATTCCCTGGTAGAACTTTAATTGATCACTAATTGAATACTGGGCTTAAAAGGTGCCCGAGAAGTAACATTAAAAATGGTTATCTATAGTGTTTATATACAGTAATAACACTGCAGTTACTGTATAAATGCCAGATTTAAAACAATTATTAAAGGGGTAAATACTTTGAAAAACTCTGTACAGTGTTGAAAAGATAACATCCGCTGAACATCAGAAACAGGTATGAACTTTTTAGCTCAACACATGTGAGAAAATATTTTCAAACATTTCATTGTAAACCCTAACTAGGCAGGAATGAGCTGTTCTTAATGTTATTTCTCTCCTGTGCAGCCACCCTACCCCACATCCCTGATGTACTCTTTCATGTCTTTTGCTCATTGAGCAGTAGTACAAATTGAATTACCATTCTTTTCTAACTTTCTAACCTAATCTGTTTCTCCCTTTTGCCTTATTTTGCTAAATGTGTGCAAAAATGTCTGTTCCTTTCTTTCACTTTTGTAATCACTATGACCTGTGCACATTTAATAATAGAAATATACATTCAATTTAAAAATGAGTCCAATTACAGACTTGGTTCTTTCAAGTTATGACAAAAAAATCACTAAGCTGTGCTTTCAAAAACCAATTTAAGTACTAGGTGTCGTACAGAAATACATTAATTACTGACGGTTCTGTTGCTATGTAAGCAGGGCTTATATTAATTAACAACATTGGTAATGGAAAATGTTGCTACTGTATGAACAATGACTTCAGCAAAATATCTGAAAACATCAGAGCAATGTGCTTCTCTGGCTTAAGAAGTCAAAGAACCAGTGAAATGTGTTCAAATTTATTAATTGGGTTTTCTGAGAAATTAAGTCTTCTATTTTATACAGTTTTAAAGAACATTTCTAAGGGATGACAGCAACAAGGGACAAACCTTTGCTACTCTGACTTGTTTTCTTCTGTGATGCCATTTCATATAAAGCGATAAATACCACAGTAAACTACTCTTTATTGCTTGTATTCCTCTTTATGCATCACTCCTCCAGCCCATCTCCACCTTTGCTGGTACTCCCTGGTTAACTCCTTAAGTCCTCCCTCCACATGGGGATCCTATACTCCTTATCCTGCAGCCAGGTGGTTGGCCCTCACCCAAAGGGTTTAAGCCAGGTCTTCTTATACCTTACTCCACAATAAATAAATGTTTTTTTATTTTCTTCCAGGTTCTAAAATTATAAATCCATTTCGGTTCCTAGAGATGTTTGAGACCTGGGGACCATTCATTGATGGAGAGTTAATCAAAGAGCAAGCAGTGACTGCTTTTCTTAAGGGCCATTGGCAGAAAGAAAAGCCCATTCTTCTAGGTACTGTATGTTTCAAGGCAGATTTGTATTCTAATTTGATGCTGGAATAATTTCATTATATTTTATAGAAATTTTGATTGTACTGCTGCTGTTGTTTTGAAAAAAATCTCTAATTTTCTCCAAGTACAGTAGTTGTGATGTTGCCTTACAATGGCCAAAGCACAGATCTAACTGTTTCTGCTGTTATTCAGGCACAACGTCCGAAGAAGGAGTTATATTCGTGTACAGTGTCTTCACCAAACCTGTTTCACTGCTTGAATGTACAGTTTACACCGCTGCCATTTTCAAACAACATGCTCTAAGAATTCTGCACAAATACTTGCCTTTCTATCCTGATGCAGACCATCGGAAACTGATGTCACAGGTGAGTACATTTATTATGACACACATCTATATCTTTTGAGCTTTTGAGTCTTTTTTAAAACTGCAAGTAAATCACTGCAGTTTTTTAATCACTGCACGGTTCTCCTTCACAAAAAAAAAGATCTTTTTGGAGGGCTTGACAACTATGTTCAATACCTATGTGATAGAGTCAAGTCCAGTACAGATGTACTGTAAAAACAGAGGATGAAGGCAACCATAGTTCTGTATTTGTAGGGCTTTAATGGACAATTGCAAAATACAACAATAACACAAATCAATGTCCCCTTCCATGAAATCTTTTTTAAACTAGTCTCTCACCCACCCTGTTATCCTGTTGTCCCCCAAGCAGCTGCTTATTTGACTGGAAGTCAGTCCCAGGATAGGCTAATTGGCAAAACCACCTCAGACTGGTCAGTAAACTTTCTTGGGAGCTCCATACTGCAGCCCAGCTGGTCCTAATTTGGGACATGATGGCTTCTAGTCTTGTTACAGCTTGCCAGGCACACAGGCTCAGCCAATTGAGGGTGAATTGCCAATGATATACAGCCTGTTGACTACTTGCACTGCCAAATGTTATTGATGAAAGCATGTCTTTCTTTTATTTATTTGTCTTTATTTTTTTCTTCTGTCAGTCCCCTCAAAAATAACCCTACTTCAGAGAAACTGTTTCCAACAACTTCAGCGTACAGGACGTTACACAACCTTTATTGCCTTTATTTAAAGATTGCACAGCTCTTACTAGTTCATCAATTTATAATTACAGGTGGGAATGACACTGTATCAGACACTCCTAATGAGCTTTATTTTCCCTTCTGCAGAGGTTCAATTGTTTACTTTACATCTGAATGAAGATGTTTCAGAAATTGGTACAGGGTTGATACCAATGTCAAATCCCATTTGTCCTTTAGAGAGATACAAGCACATTTAGAACACAGAAAATTGGAAGCAATTAGCCTGATTAAGAACTGAGCAGGAGCAAAAGCCATGAGATACAGTGTTTCATGACCAGGGTAGGGAACCACTTCCATAAATAGTGGTCATGGAGATAAACCTTTTACATTATTTGTGTATTTAAGAGCTTCTTTAGAGACTTGAAACAGTAAAAGCACTTTTTCAGAATGTAGGCTATGCCCTATAACACACTTTGAATCCAGGTTAAGTCCTTTGCCAACTGAGACTGGTATTGCCCAGGTGTCACTAAACACAGTTATGTTCAATCTCTCCATGTTATTCTCTTCTTGCACTGCACTATGCCTTCTGTGGCTTGCAGTCGTACCCATCATCCCTCCCATGCTGATGTGCTGGTCATCATAGTAAACTACACTGAGAACTGGCCATGTTAAACAGAGAAGAATGGAAGAAACGTGTTCATTTATTTTTCAAATATGTTTTTTACTTTTTTTGTTACCATTTATTATATATGAAATGAATAGTGGAGTCTAATCACTTTAGACTTGTCTACTGTGCTGTAGTCTATTTACTAACTTTTATTTCCCATATGTGATATTTGCTTTGCAGACAGGTAAAACACATAACACAATGCAAAATACATTTAACACAACATAAACCTATTAAAAAATAAAAAAACATACCTGAATGATGAGAAAGAAAAAAATAAATACAGAACTAAAGAAAAATATGCAACTAATTGTTAAGATTAAACTGGGTAAAAGCCATGGGAATGCAGAGGATAACTTAGTTCTACTGCAAAGAGTAGTAGGTAGTCTAAATTGATGCTCAGATTGATGCTTCACTGTGCAAGGGGTGATCATGACAGTCGGTGATTATACTGGCCTTCCACATTATTTGTTTGGCATAGGTACAGTATGTGACAGCTGTAGCTGTTGTTCACCAATAATTGTGCTAGCTACCTTCACCATTGCTGCTCAGTCTATTGTATTGTGTGTATTTCAGTTACCAAACCAGGCTACCAGTCATGAATGTTAGGACAGATTCAATAAATGTAATATAAAATAAAGTCATCCTTGTACAACACACATTAAAAGAGCAGAGTTTTCTGAGGAAGAACAATCGCTGTTGGTTGTTCTTATACGTGGTATCTGTGTTTTCCTCAAAGGTTAGTTTGTTATCAACAGCAGTGCCAAGATATTTTTAAATGTTGACAATTTCAATGTCTTGCTTCTCAGTGACTGTTGGTTTTGCAGATGGTGATTGCTTTCTATAATCAATTATCATGTCTTTGGTTTTCTGGCACATTAAGTTGAAGGAAGGAGCTGTTGCAGCACTCAACCAAGTAAACCACCACAGGCCCATGATCAGTGTCTACGTCTTGGAGGAAAACGACAATGAGAGTCATTAGCAAACTTACTGATGTGTCTGTCCTCAAAAGGGCTTTCACAGCTGTCTGTATACAGGATGTACAGGATGTGGGAACAGCACACTGCCCCAAGAAAACCCAGTCAAAGAGCAAAGCTGCTATAAGACCATTTATGATCTGTTGATCAAAAACTCTAAGATTCAACCCACAATAGATTATAAAAAGTATTCTCTTGGTTAACAAGCATGGTTGAATGGTATTAAAAGACTGAATAGAAATCTATAAATCAAAGGCATTAGATGTGTCTTGGGACCTTCTAGATGTGAATATAAGGGATTCAGTAATGTGAGGGCCGGATTTTCAACTTCTCTTTCAGCCCTATAGGCAAATTGCATGGGATGTAGTAGGTGCTCTAACAACTACACTATAGTACTACCACAGGTGCCACCATGTGCAGCAAGATGTGAAAGAATGCCCAAAGGTACTTCATGATCACCATTTTTTTCATGTTATTTCTGTATCAACCTGCAGATGGCGCCTTCATTCCTGTTAATGTGCAGACAATCCCGAAGTTCTCTTTTAGGCTTCATTAATTACTCTCTTCTGAATGGACAGCTGGAGCGGTAGGTAGGTTAATAAGCCCCAGCCCCCACCCCATTGCTCCTTTTGTTGCGGAACTCCTCAACACGGCTGCCTTGTGTGGAAGCACACCTGCAGTGAGGCGTTGAGCTGAAGCAGCTGCATGTTCCCCCACAGCCTCTGTCTGCTGGTGCATCTGCTGCAGACATGGTCACATTATGCCTTGGCACGATTTGAGCTCTAGTGCTTTACAAATACCTTTAAATGAAACCATGACTAACTCAGTAAACACAAAGGAATTCTGATGAGGAAAAATTGATTTTGTGCTTTGGTCGACTGAAAATAGCAGAACGTCAAGCATGCTGCACACAAGTGTCGACAATCTGGCCAGTCTAACTCATTTGATCGTTCATAGTTAATTGATCTGAGGAGCTCATCCAGCCATTACTTGAAAGATGCCACAGTACCAGCATTGTCAACATGACTTGGTAGCTTGTTCCAGCTTCCCATAATTCTTTGTAAAATATTATACCATCTGTTTCATGACAGCTGATAAGCCGAAGATATTAATTGCTATTGGAAATAGGAAAGGCCTAAAACTAAGATGTCAAAAAGAGAATCCAATCTCTGTAGTATGATGAATAACTGAGTTTAAAATGTACACCATCTGAGCTGTGCTATCAGAGCTCCTAGATAACTTCAGAAATACTAAAATACCACAGTGAAAGGTTCTTATAATTTTTAATTTGCAACACTCGCAGGCAGAAGAATTAAGAGGATGTACCAGATACCTAAGGAATAAGCCAAGAAAGGATTCTGCTCTAACAGTATTATTCAGAAGTGAATGTGCATCTCTATTGGCTAAAAACAAAACCTGAAGAAGACTAGTGACTTAGATCACATCCAAAAAACTGCCTCCCTTTGTGCTCTCTCTTTTATGCTTGCAAACAGCTTATTACCATGAAAGAAGAATCCTAATGCAGGTGTCTTAGCTGTAATTCTCATATGTGGGAGGACAAGCAAAATATTTTTTTCTGACTGCTTGGTTTCCAGGTAACTGCCTGAAAGTTCTTGTTCATATAAATACAAAACTGAAACCTTTAGAAGTCCTTCACTGGTTTATTTCTTACCACAGAAAGAAACCACATGGAACTCTGACACATATTAAAGACTTATAATAATATGTATCTAAGCAAAAACATATTGCATGTTTTTTTAATAATAAAGCTTTTGCAGTATTGTAAATGTTTACATAATTATATTTCGTATAAAAAATTAGAAGAATGTATTGAAAGAATCTACAAAATGTAAAGTCATTTTTTGTATATTTCACCCATCTTTTCTTAACTAATAAGGCTTCCATCACTAAACCTTTTCAAGGCAACTGCATTATTGCAGTTAGCAACCTCAAGTGTTAAAAAATGGTTGCACTTGTGGATAGGACTACTTTTGACCCAAATGACATCTTCAACATAGACTTTGAAAGATCATTTTTTGGCCCAAGTCAAGTTTTGGACGAGTGATTTTTTTGCTCCTATCTGAATTTTTTTTTTCAGAAACTCTGGGCCCTGGATAGCACGGTGCACCATGTGGCAATTGTATCTCATAACTCAATGTGTCGGATCAAAAGTTGTAACAAAGCATTTTTGAATCTCGTTCACTTGCAGCAGCTTTTATTAATGGTCTTGATTGTTTCCCACTCAGTTGACACCCCAGGTAGGGTTAGGGTTAGCATTCACACACTACTTAGACAATCTGTAAACTCAGTGCTGGATTATGAAGCCCCCAAGTCAAGTTTAGGACGAGTGATTTTTTGCTCCTGTCTGAATTTTTTTTTCAGAAACTCTGGGGTCTGGATAGCGCAGTGCACCGTGCAGTAATCGTATCCCAAAACAGAGTCTGTCGGATCAAGACTTGTAACCAAGAATTATTGAATCATGTTCACTTACAACAGCTTTTATTAGTGGTCTTGATGTTTCCCACTCATACGTTTTAGTCAAAAACCAACGCCCACAGAGGTTCAGATATATTGTAAAACATGAACACTTTGAAGAGCTGTTATAGAGGACAGCATAGAGGCGAATGGTTTTTGATACTGTCATTCCTGACTAATTCACAATGTGATTGAGAAATGGAAATAAGAATGTTCACAAGAAAAAATATTGTTAGTTGTATGCTTTTTAAACCAGTCCTTTAAGTCTTGGATGGTGATCTTCAACTTTGGTCCTGGAAGGACACTGTGTTTGCAAGGTTTCATTTAGGCTGAGCTCTACGTCTCCATTGCTAATTTATTGCTTAAACTTTCTTGTTTACTTTAGATTAACTTCTTGCTTTGGTTAGTCCTGGGTGTCAAAAATACCCTACCTTGAGAGTGCCGTTTCCTACAAATGTAGTACTTTATGTAATCTTTTTCTCAACTTGCTTGAATAATGATCTCACCTCTCGGTGGGTGAAGCAGTGGATCTCCAAGTTGTAAGATGAACCCACATGCTGAACAAAAGGCAGATGAGACTCACTGTGCACAGGTGTGGGTGCTAAGCCCACAGGCAGAGTGGTAGTATAGCAGTCAGGGAATGTTGTTCACAGTTAGTGATCGGGCAGGCATGGGGTCAAAGCAGGTGAAAATTAAACACAACTCATCCCAAAACACAAAGAGGAATATAAGAGACAGGGTCAGAGTGAAGTGAGGGTGATTAACAATGTCTAACTAGGTAAGAAGTGTTTATCGTTAAAATCACAAACCACAGTTTGGATGTTATTTATTATTGTTTCTTTTGTCAGTTTTTGGTGAAACAAGTAAAATAGGGGTGACATTTCTGGGGTCCAGAATCAATCGTCATTTTTCACTACATGAATGGGTTTCTGGAAGTTAATTACATTCCTAAATAGATGTACAGTACTGTATAGGTGTACTCTTTTATGATCAATGATGAATATGCTGTTATGTTGTTGGCTGTGGAAATTAAAAATAACTCTTTAATATTGACACTTTCTGTTGATTGGCATCATCTTTTTGCTCCAGTAATACAATGTGATTTTGGCTTTTCTCCACAGACAGTTACCGACTATGTGTTTCTGTGTCCTTCGCGCAAGGCCGCTCGTACAGGAATGAAGGAGGGCAGCACAGTGTGGATGTACGTCTTTGATCATGTGATCTCTGACCACAGAGTATGGGATGGCCTTGAGTTCTGCTACCATCATGCCTGCCATGGTGCTGAGCTGCCTTTCATGTTTAACTCTGTAAGTCTCAGGAACTTCACCTTCACAGCACAGGAGCAGGTGCTAGCCAATCAGATGGTCTGTTACTGGGGCACATTTGCTCACACTGGTGATCCCAATGCACATGTGGAACAGACCCAGTTTTGTAAAAAACAGATGCCACCTGCTTGGCCGATGTACACAAACACAAGTGGTTGGCTAAATATGAACTTTACGCTGGGGTCACATTCCCAGCATGGTTCAAGAGATGAGTTCTGTGATTTTTGGGATAAGCTTGGTATTTACTAAGAAAAAGATATCAAATACAAGCCAAAATTTGTAGCTTCAGTTACTATAAAATGTAGTCTTTCCTACATTTCTTTTATCTAATCGAACACCCTACTGTATATAGTTATGCATAATTCTAATGAAATAATAAAATAAACATTCAGTTCCTTCAGACAGAATACTTGAAAACAGTAAAAGGAACAAAGTTCTGACTTGCAATTGTCACATACACGTCATCAGTAAAATTAAATATTGTATCTGCTGTATTATGTATCAATAAGTTCAGACAGTATTCATGTCTAATTTGGCTTTTTTTTTTGCTTATAACAAATCAAATCAAAGCTTAAGAGAAACATGGATAATTCTTATAAGTTTGAATACCTGCAGTGTATCGGTGTAATACGTACCGATCTGGAATTATACATTCTTCTTACAAAAGAAGTAAATTTTACAATATTGAGTTCCCAGGAATTGCTGCAGTACCATATCTATATAGAAAACAATGACATTCTTAGTAAATGCAAGAAAGCATCATGACAGCCCTTGGGTACATGGTTGTTAGCATTGGAAGCACAAACAGCACCCAACAGTGCTGATACATGATACTTAATTTAACTGGTCAGTTACATGTTCTACCTGAATTTTAAAAGATGATGAGGAGTAAAAGCTCTATTGTGCTATATAGATGATCATTTCCTCCACATTTACTCAGACCTCGTAAGGATCTGTAATTGTGTATTTAGATATAGGGGAAACAGGGTATTTTGATTTATTGTACAGTATACACAGTATTTGTAAACTAGTATTCTAAAACACCACAATGTTGGGGTGCTTGTATTTTCATACTTTTTCCCAGGATAGGTTATGGGTTACTATGAGCCTAACCGAGAAATAGTGGCTTCTGTGAATGATTGTATTCTTCATTTTTCTTATTGTTTTGTAAAGCTGTATTGCAGTCTTATTATTAGAATTTTAGTTTGGTGTAACAAGCCAAAACCCTAAGTAGCCAATGGTGACATTAAAATAACCACTAAATCTGCAGCTTTATTAATCAATAACTTGAGTAACCAAAAACATGAGTGATTTGTATTTGGCTTATACT